GGTTAATGGTAGTTGATCTTAGATACTTGGGCGAAATTCCGTATCCGACTATGGATAGATTTAAACATGTGTAATTAAGTAAGAACTAGATGAAACCTAATAATATCTATTAACTGAGACCTCCAATTAATGAACGAAAAATTAAAGAATGCTAATGAAATCGAATATGAGAAAGTGATTTGATTTTCATGGGAAAAACAATAATAAGCAAATCGAAATAAGATGTATATAAAATTTCAACATGATCTCTGATCTCTTCAATACTAAATAAATGTGATTAAAATGTTGAAATTAAATAAGTATAGTTATGAGTATTTATCATTAGGTTTGAAAAATATTCTTCAATCCTGAATCTAACTCCTATCACACCAAGTTAATCCCTTAATTTATCCTTTATTTGATCTATTATGTTAAATAACTTACTAATCATTATAATCATATGCAAATATCATACTTCTCTATGATAAACTGTTCTTTCGGTGAACGCCATCTGACGATTGTCTTAACTTGTTCAGGGTCATCTGCATAGTTTTCTGCCACCTAGTAATCTTATGCTGCAACACCTCTTGGTTAGACGTTGGTCTAGTAAAAATGAAGAAGAATGATTGTGAATCGAACAAGACTATCCAACTGTATCAAGAGCTCTGCCTAGTAATTAAATATCTTTTCAAATTATTACAATTCATCAATGTCGATCAACCAAATTCTAATAAATTCCTTGAAAAGATGAATTTTTGAGAAAATATAATGAGTTAAATAAAACGAGAATAGAATAGAAATGAAATGATAGGATTTATTTTTAAATCAGTAATTCTTATCATACGAATAGTATGGCAACGTATGGCAACAATAAATATTCATCCATTTAAGTCACAATATATATCACTGCAATATGCATGTTAGAATTAGTGAAATCATATTTACAACCAAAGACTTTGTAGATTAAAATCTTGAATGTGATTACCATTTATGGACAACTTTTAAACAGGGTTCAATTGACCTGGACAATATTCATTTAATTACTATGGTCAAAAGGGGTTTCTCATTTAGTATGGATAATTAAGTTTAAGATTAGCAGTTAGTAGTTGAGGTTAAGAATTACAATTTGGATTTTCGTCGTAAAATGACATCATTTACTATGCCGACATACTATTTAGCCATATGGATAATTGAATTTCTTGTCGAAATTCTAGATTTACTACTTTTATTATCGTTGGTTCATTTATACTGTCGCCAAATCCTAATGTTCATATTTTGTGTATAAGTAGGTTATTCTCTTTCATGAAAACTATTCATATGGCTAGTAATCTAGCTACTGATTAGAAATCACTCCGGAGCCTGAGCCGATAATGTATTCTTACAAACATCCATCACTCGACCACATTTTGCGTTCATCCATAAATTAGCATTCTGTCCATTTATTTTAATAATCAAATATTTCGTCAAGTCAAACCACAGAGAACTTCCTCAGTAACGTAAACTTCATTCATTTACCAAGATTTCTGAATAATAAAGTACGGCTAATATAAATGACTTTTTAGTGAAGGAAACATTTTTCTCTTAATTCTCTTTATTTTTATTCAATGAAAATCATTGGTTATTTTGATTTATGAAGTCTTATTTGTTTAGAAATACTATAGATCATAGTGCTTATTCATAACTCATGAAATAAACTTGTATTCATAGACCATCAGATCTCAATAGAAATAATTTCGGATTGAGGTTTATTAAATTCAATCTTTTAAGACATAATCTCTCAGTTTTCAAATGAAGATCTTAGATTCCTTACTATTATTGATTGTGAAAACGCAGTGATACGAAACCTTCAAACTGTTGAACAATTTTAAATAGTAGCATCCATAAATACTTCAAAAATATTATTAATAACCTTCCAATTATGATCTATTTTCATGACAATAATCTGATTTTATGGTGTTCCATAAATGATATGTATACAGGGAAATCTCCCATCCTGAGGTTTTTGAAATCATGGATTAACCTAATTTAAACATCTACCGAAAGTCAGTAAGCACATGAAACCTATTTCGTTCTAGTATGGAAATTCTTGATGTTGGACATTCACAACCCCACCAGTGACTCAACTCATCTTACCGCGAACGCTTAATCTTTGTATAAGTAAGCATGCAGTTGTGTACATGTCTAAATTCGATCAGTTCGCGATATTGCCCAATCATCTATTGTTTTCAGAGGGTAAATGCTTTACTTTCGATATGTTTAAATTTCACAAGGACGGAATAAATATTCAGTGTTTCCTCGTTTTCAGTGGATTTAAACGTTAAAGAACTCCATAGATTATTAGTTTTGATACTAAAGCAAACTGTCCATATTTTCATAATACAGTGTCCTGAATACACCATGCTTTCTGTATTGTGAAATATTAATAAACAGTGACAGGTAATACCGATTCATTGAACTTGTAAGACACATAAAAAACTATGGGATCACAGCATCATTCGCATCACAAACCACTGAAACTTATGAATCTTTAGGTAGCTTCGTAATTTTGAAATATCTCTCCGTGTTCATGTAAACTATACTTGGTTTCACTCAATCAATCAATAAGTTTGTTATGTGTTGTTTTCATTCAGTTTCACCCAAATCCTTACTTGAAATACACTAAAAGTAATAAGTTTCTACTGAAACTTATCCAACTATGATTTAATTATCAGTAAAAACTGTAATATACCAACTGCCTAATGTTAAACACCTAGTGAAAAGAAATAATATTGTTTAGCAATGATTATTTGACAAGTATCATTAGTAAAAGTCTGTTTATAGGACTGAACTAGGTTACTCTCAGTCTGTCAGATAGTTTCGCATTAACAAATTACACATTAGTAAAAGAAATCCAGTGAGAAAGTAAGTTACTATGTTACTGCATAAACGAAGTACACGTTTTTTAATCAACTATTTACAATTCCAGAATCTTCAACTTTCTCCTATCTAAACTTTAAAAGCAAATCTTGTATAAAAGAAAACAACATTATTTTGACATTTATAAAGCTTTAGGGTCAACACATTTAGTTTAAATGTAATGAACTGAAATAGTTTGAGAACATTAAATGAAACTGCAATGACTGATTCGAGACATTACTCTAATGTTTAAATACTATTTTTAGTTTAATAATTAAGAAAATGTACAAATGTTTATTAAATCAAATAGCACAAGTATTATATAATACAATTCATCTTTATATCAACCAAAATTAGAAATATGCACTATGAATAGTTTGATGTGTATTTCAGTAAACTTAAATCTCATTGTCAACTATAGTTTCATAAGGAAGAACACATGGAACTAGTCATTTACAGTGGGTTCTTATCCATTGAAGAATTTCGAAGTATTTCGTTATTAAAATTATATAAAAAGCAAATTGAAATTTGAAATATTAGAAACTATTTAACGTAGTATTAAAAAATTGAAGATTACTTGACTGAACAACAAATGTTTCATATGTAGATTATAAGATTAATAACATCCTTGATAAGGTAAGGACAATTTAAATTTATGATTTCAGGCTAAAGATTACACTGACCTAATTAAGATCAATCTCATCAAAAACAATCTTCATTAATGTTAGGAAGCGATCGAGAGTAAAATTATGGATTAAAACATTATGATAATAGTATAGTGTAACAGTAAACGATATGCTAGCAATTTCTTTCACATAGTCATCTTTTGTGATATTCATTTAACATGATATTTGCCTACAATATGGTTGTTTAAACTTGATGATCGACCATTTCAAAGAAAATCTTTATATAAAAGAGCCCGATTACCTCTTAAAATGTACATGCTTCGCCGTCATGTTTCCTCTTTTGATATTGTATAACTCAATGAACACGGTTCTCGAGGATTAATCTCGATTCATTAAATTGTCAGTGCTAACTCGTCATTCGTTATCATATAAAACAGATAAGTTAAAAATAAAAAGTCAGTCAGCTACAAAGTAGGATCAGCGACATATGTGCACAACAAGATGAACACCAAATCCACAGTAGTTACTTCAATCTTAGTAATATACAAAAAAAGACTTTGTATAAAAATATAGTACAGGAAGAAAGAATTGGCTCGTAGAAAGAAAGATATGAAGCGATTTTAATCTCTTAATTTAAGGGAAGACAGAGAGTGTATACACCTATGCCATTGTGATCGGTTCTGAGCCATGTCACTAAAAGTCCTCAACTATTGGTTACGATAGTCACGCGGATCCCAACCAAGTAGTCTGCATCTACCAACATGGCTCAAGCTAGAGGTTAGTAACTTCAAGCAATGATGCCACGTTTTAGTTTGACCACCCCTAACTTTCTTCCAACCATCCCCAACACTGATTAGCATTGCGCGTCGTGGTAATCGGTGTTCAGGCATACGTAATACATGGCCCAACCATCTCAGTCGATGAAGATTCACATCCTCATCAACTGATTTATTATCATTCCCTGATACCCTGTGTCTAACCTCACTATTACTTATCCGGTGATCCCAGAAGATGCGAGCAGTATTTCTAAGACATCTGTGATCGAATGCTAGTAAATTATGATTATCTAATCTTAATGCCCACGTTTCGCAGCCGTAAAGTAAAACAAAACGGACTGCCGCGCAGTATACTCATCCTTTTATTGATAGACGGATATCTCGCTTTCGTCATAGGTGACGTAAGTTGGTAAAAGCCAAACGAGCTTTTCGAACCCATGTAGGGATTTCGTCAGACACCAACCCATTAGGGCTGATCAGACTTCCAAGATAAGTGAAGTTGTCAACACGTTCGACTACATTTATACAAAATGACCTATAAAATACAGGTGATTCAAAATATTCGAACGAAAAATAAATTTTCCAGTTATATCGCTGTGCATCAGCAGTACATTTCAAATGTTATTGAAGTTCATTATTTGATACGGAGAAGTTAGCTTACACACATGCTTTAAGATTTACAATTGGACAATTGTTCTTCTAAAAAGAAAGGGAATAATAACGATAAAATTTCATAAAACATTTATTCGTATTAAAGTAATCTTAATAGTATAAGGATCTTCAAAAGACATATAAAAGCATAAAGACAAGTTATAAGTTCACTGGAGAACGGCATGTGTACTTTTATCACAAACATATACATCCTATATATTCTTACTAATAAGGTCGTGATATACGTGATGAAGCTAATTTTATTACTTCATAAGGTTTATACAAATAATTCATACATAATCATAGAACAGTATACACAATGTTCAAAAGATAAAATCTCACACAAGTTGTTTATGTACGCAAACATAAAAAAATATGAAGAAATTTCATAAAAGTCCATCTAATTTAAGATTACGCCTTATGATAACATCTGTTACAGCATCGAATACAAACTGTATATTTGTAGTATCTGTCGCACATGTAAAATGTGTATAGATTTCTTTTGTTGTCTGTCTATTAAGTGCTTCAAATTTTGTCTGTATATATAATCCAGCTTCTTGATAATTATTTTCACCTACAATAAATAATATATTCAATGATAGAAATGATAGTTTTCAATGTAAACAATCAATAACTTTAAAAGTCGTTTGTAAAATGTTTGTTACAAATAAAAAGTAAAAATTCCAAAAGAAGAACAATAAAATGATCATGATAATGTAGAAAGTTTGACTTTATATCTGTTCGTTTAACGCTGTGATACAGTTTTGATAGTTTACATATTTCAAATTAAAATAATCTTAATATTATGAGGTGCAATTAACAATGCAAATCTCTATGCTTGTTCAGCCGGTTACGCATTTGGAGAAAAAGATAACTATGTAAAACGTTGATAAAATTCGAGTGCTAATATTTACAGCTCATTCATATATACAGATCTTCAAAGTTTGTGGAAAATATGTGTTTATGTTTAATTAGATGAATAATTCGTCATCTCATAACAACTCTCCCACTATAGACTCTCTTCAATTGAAGGTACATAAAACCTATGATTTTCCGAATTTCAGGAATATCATTCGGCATGTAAACATAATTTTGAATGTGCACCTTATTATTGGTTTCTTTAATAAACATGAAATTATGAAATACTCGGTTACTAAATTTAAATTTGTAATAGAGCGAGAATAGTATTACATGATTATAGAAAAATTTATCGTTTGATTTAAACCCATTGTTGTACCGAAAACATTCTAAATAATATAGGCTTGTTACCTTTATACCATCATGACAACATGTAGTCTTGATTAACTGTTTACTGTTTACGTTCTACAAGTTCAGCTTACAAAGATTTCTTAGACTAACTGGTAATTTTGAGTCATTGTTCTACTGATATATACATTCTTACAAGTAATTTCATACAGCTATTATGAAAATAAGCAATTATTTAACATTGAACCGGAACTACTGTAATTCATTTGTATTAAAACTATATACTTTGACCGACTATACAATATATAAAAATGCAGATGAACTTTGTTACTATATTGAAAAATAATGATAATATATTTAATAATCTATGTGTATTATTTTTGTTCTTCACTATTGTTTAAAAAGATTGAAGTGGATAGAAAATTAATTTGTTCAAAACCTATACCAAATTCCTATTTCATTTTTCTGCTTTTGTCTAAAAGAATACGACTACATTTTAATTTATTGTTATCATCAGTTTTTTGTTCATTATTCTTTATTTCTGCTAGTTGATAAAAGTAAAAGAATACAGATAAGTTTGCTTAAATGCTCATTACTGTATTCTACTTTACTGAAAAGTTTTTTAATCCTGAATCATTCAGATAATACATGAGAATTTCAATAAAATCAATTTTATCCGTTTTCTTCTTCATGGGTTAGAGATGTTCTGTCCTATTTTAAAAAACAGGTTTATTCGTTCAGAAAAGACATATTATTTTAATTATCTAAACATATATATCCACCACACTGTGAAATATTGATGTGAAACTGTGAAACGAGTACTAATGGTGGATGACTGTTTGATAATCTAATTTTTAGTCACTTTTGAATTACTTAGTTGAGCTATTTCCTGAAATTATACACTAAAATTCAGTCGTTTGGGCTACTTTCAGAAACTAAACGGTGTTTGTGTCACATGCATTTTTCGTCTTTTATTCAAGGATAAAAGCTTAAACTACGTGTCAATCTACATGTTTAGAATGTATAAGAAATCGCCATCAGATATTCCTCTCAGAGGAATTCTGCTATATTACTGATCTATGATAAAATTTGATTGTACTAGCATCGTTTGCAATTGAGTACTTAAACACTGAATATCGTCTCTACAGTCAGGAGATTCACATGAATTTTTGTGTGCTATTATACATGAATTTGAAACAGTATATTTGAATGATGGAACAACTGTAAGAGCGATGCAGATGTTGTACACAACACTAAGTAAATCTTGTAAACCCGTTCTTTAGACTGTGAATTATTCGTCGATTAAAGTGATTAGGTTGAATACTACATACGATAATCCACAGTCTATTTCAATGCATACTGTCAGTGATCATAAGCCATATACAGGCTAAGGATGACCAGACATACATTCTTTACTATAGCTATATACCTGGATTTTGTACCAACAATATCATCGTACTCGTCAATTGTTCAATATAAATTAATTACACTAGCTTTAATTAGCATTTAAACAAACAAATGAACTAGATTTCAATTGTTATCAATAAAGTTAGCTCTAATGAAAATCATAACCTATTTTCTTAGGAAAACTTTAAAATTTTAAGTTGTTCATGTGTAACCAGTATAGGAATAATGAATAGGTTTTGTCCTAAGATGAGTGAGTAAACTAAACTTTAGTCAATAAGACTTGAAACGATTAGTTCATCTTAAACAGATGTTGATTAAATGTTTACTCATGGTTACAATCCGATCACGGATAGATATTTATTTAGCTAAAAAAGTAAAACTGAGTAAAGTTCATTTCTCGTCACTTTGGATAGTTATTCAGTAAGAAATACAATTACAGCCTTTAGAAACTTACATATATAAACAGGCTATGACATATGTATTTTAAAACATCTACTGCACAATCGAACATCATTCTCATCAGATCTGTAAGTTATCTGTTGTACGGGTTCCTATCTGATGTTCATTATAACAACTCATATTAGTGAGTAAATCATCGTAAATAATCGTCTTTACACCTGAACAAGCAAATGATGTTCCATAAATTTTTATTATTCCTCTGCAAGCCTAATGGTTTGAACTTGCATCACTTGCGAGTAAAATGTTATTATCTCAATGAAGCTACCATTGAGTAATGCATAATGCGTGATTGTTCACTGGGAATGGTAACATGAATTCATAATTGGTTACCAACAATAGTTCCCTACAATAGTTCTTAAAGCATACAATGATTATTAATATGAGACTTTTCCGTTGAACTAGAAAAACAATATTGCTGTACTCTAGGTCTAATAAGGATACAGGAATGCTGTGAATATAAAGAATGTAGGCTTATTGGATAATGATTATTCACTATTTCGCGAAGGGTTGTATTAGCTTATGAAAAATAAATCACAACACTATCAGTCAATAAACCTTAAATTTAAATTTAAATAGTTACATATTTAGCAACATACAGATGCTTTATATAAAGCAGTCAAATTAACATCGCAAATTCATCAGACAGAAAGAAATCTGACTATCTTTCCTCATTTTCGGAGACCTTTATTCAGTAATTTTGAAAGCTACTTTACAGTATCTCCAAAACAATAATAAACCAAGTTTTTAAAAGGGTTTTGGTTTCGGAACAGCTATTTATTTTAAAAATGACAAGGTTACCCTAATTCATTTTACAGGATTGTGATTTATAAATTACATACTCCTTACCGAAATAAATGCAAATACAGCACTTTTATTTAAATTCATCTATTTATAAAAGATCCCAAACAATTTAACTATTTATAATCTATAATGACATAAATATGATGAATTTTTGTAGTTTTAAACATCACAATCTATTTGAGTTATTATCCTGGATTAACAATGAAACATGACACTATTCGATTTTATGTCATAAACATTGGTTGTTATATGGACGATTAGAGAGATGTTGATTTTAAAGATACGAATATATAAATTGGTTTTAGTAAACATTGATACATCTATAAAAAAATACAGTGAGATCATGTAGTCCACTGATATTTTGTCTGATAGATCAAACATTATATTTAGACAATCAGAAATAATTCTTAGTGATCTTTGCACATATGTTCTAAAATGTTAACTGAAATGATCAACAAACCCTTAATTTCTGATGGGTTACGGGGTTGGAATAAGCATCAGTGTGCATCTAAATTGATCTAGAAGAAAAAATTCAATGATCAATATTGGTTTAGTATATTCATGGCGTTATCAATTTTTGGCAAACCGCTTCCAAAATGTAATATGAAATCAAGCAATTACATAGAACTTCGTTTAGTTCCTCACAACGTCTGTATTGAGGTTTGGTGTTTTCAGTCAACTAACTTTTCAAAGAGTATTGATTGATCACTATGAGATATCAAACAGTTATCTTCTCCTGTTTTGGAACTAGTTAGTAGTCTACCTACGATTTACTTTCTCAGAGACATAACAGATGATTCACAGATATAAGCTAGTCATTTTTAACCATCCCACTATATCTTTACAGAAAAGATTAGGGTATAAGGGTTTCCGGCAGATCTGTATTGTCAGAATGGGTTTTGTGGAGATTTTAGAAATTTCACAGATTGAAATCATGAGTCAGTTGAAGCTAGACCACCATTGAAAACCTGGAAGCACTGGACGGCCGTTTCGTCCTAGTATGGGACTCCTCAGCAGTGCGCATCCACGACAATGGTGTACGGTGGCGCAACTTCGTGGATTGGTTGAAGTTAGACATTAACACCGTCGGATGCCTGCTCAGTGGTCTAATGGTTAAGTGCTCGCGCGCGAAGCCAGTAGGTCCTGGGTTCGAGCCCCGCGTGGTGCGGGATCGTGGATGCGCACTGCTGAGGAGTCACATACTAGGACGGAACGGCCGTCCAGTGCTTCCAGGTTTCCAATGGTGGTCTAGCTTCAACTGACTCATGATTTCAATCTGTGAAAGATCTGTATTGTATTTTATCTACAGATGACTGAAGATTATCTTAATATGGTTCAAAAAATAAGAACTTGAATAGAGTGGAGGTCTGTAACACGACAACAATTTGACGTTAATAATCCACACGTTACTAGAGATAGAGAAAACTGAACTTTGATGATAGTTTTATATTCCGTAGAGGCACATGATAGAGTTAGCACTTTGATAGCGATGACAATAAATCAGGTGATAATAAATATCATTGAGGACTTATGAATTAGGAAAATGTTATCGACGTAATCCTTTAAAGAAAGAATTAACATACAATAACGAAAACTTAGGCAAGCTTATCTCTTCTTATAGCATTCATTAACTGATATTATGTGACAGTGAAAGATCGCTCGCAATCAAATCTGGTGCTTTCAAAGGAAGCGTCATGAACACTTGTATAAATACTTATTAAAAGTTTGTTAAGTCAGTTATTGAACGAAAGAAATAGTGAATAGAATTTTAAGGTGAAGTAAACAGGTTATTCCAGTGAATAAAAACATAAACTTGTTAGTAATATTCGGTAAATTGCAGCTTACGACCCTGTTAGCTTACTAAATGATGACTATAAAATAATAAATATCCAGCTTACAGTTTCTGTGTAGTTCAGAATTTTCAACGACATTAAGATTTCAATCTTCATAAGAACAGTCGAAGTCAAAAATTTCAAATCCCCCAATAATTCTTTAGTTACTGTCAGCTATATACAGAAGAATCGACTCATATGAAACAACTTTACAACTAAAACAAACGTATACTTTCTATTTCCTTTGTTTTAGAAATAAATAACATGGATGACAAAGCGACTAAAGGATAACCGATTGACACACAACGTTTTGAGAAATGAACGTTAAATATTAGCACCCATGGCACATTTGGTTTCAACTTAAATTACCAGCTTACATTTTTTTAATCAACTGTGACGACTTTTGAAAACAAACGTCTAAATATTAGATTATTTCTGATGTGCAAGATGCAAAACCTAAGTATATAAACCTATTAAGATACGCCGAAATGTTATTCATAAAAGCAGTTGAAATGTTTTATTTCACAATAAATAAATATTTTTGTGTTCCATATAAAACAAAACACTGTATTTTGGTAAGCTACTTGTTGTAATTATTACGTTTAGTCTCGATATACTTCCGGTATAAAATTATTGGTTTTGCAAAATAAACAAAAGTTGATAAACTCAGGTTTGTCAATAATTTGATACTGTATATCACCAATATTCAGCTTGGTTTCACATACTAATTTCGATTATTAATAGTCAGCATTTCTACATTTATTACTAAGATCCTTAATCAACCGAAAAGCACTGAACACCTACTTTTCCCTATTAATTGACTGTTCAGCAGTCTGTATCCGCAGTCCCATTGGGGAATAAACTCATGTTTTGCGTTCTGGTAGTAAAGGCTTAAGCATCAAACCATTTGGCAGATACAAAATGGTTTATATGCCTGATTTCAATTAATTCGCGACATTTTGCAACCAACATTCATTCTACATTTATTATTAGTACATTAGATCTTTTTTAGCCTTATGTACTACAAGTAGTTGAATATATAACCTAATAGATTGGGTGAAATTTATAGCTAAATAAAATAAAATGCGTACCTATTCGAATATTTAACTTCGTTAACTTAAATTATTTTAACTTAAAATTAAATCTTCGCTTTAGAGATTATACTTTCTCCAAGGAGTTCTGGATACATCATCATCAGATGTCATCAAACAAACAATTACTCACTCTCAAAAAGTACTTGTTTTATGTTTCTTTCTTTTAAATCAAGTACTTTTACAAAACAATATTTTGAGATAAAAGACAAGACTACCATAAATCACATTAAAGCCATTACACTTTGAATTATTGTGTTTGACGCCTGAAGGTAGTTTAATCAAAACTCGGCCTATAAATATCTGAAATTAAGTAACATTACATCTTAGCAAATGTTAATAAAGAACTGTATAACCTAGAATTCTCAATTTTTCGTGAAACTAAAATACAATAACCCGGTAAATATTAAGATTCATGTAGATGAATAATGATTAAATTTTTCACTGACTATTAAATTAGCTACGACTATTCATTCCATATTAACAACTTGAAGGAATGAATAAGTGTAAATATTTTATTGTCAAGAAACACTAATGTACGACACAAAATCTCTCAATCCAAAACAAAGAGACGCATGATTTAAACGCTTTTCATATTTTTTATTTGTTTTTGCTTCAGTGAGATCTCAAATAATTTCTATACCGTCATTTATGTTGTTTAATTTTTATAGTGATATAAAATGTGATCCCTTTTCCAACAAAATATAAGATACTACTTAAATAAATTTGTTTTATTAATTTATGTAGTCTGTATCTCTTAATTATTCGCAATGAAATATATAAGGCGTAAGTAATAATTCAGAATTGAAATGAAAAGATAATTACAATAACATACCTATATATTCTGGAAAACAAATTGTCAGTGGTGAATGGTAGATTTTTTGTTCAAACAAATCACGCTTATTCAAAAATAACAACATACTGGTCTCAGTGAACCAACTATTATTACATATGGAATCAAATAAATTCATAGATTCAACCATTCGATTCTAAAATAACAATAATTAAGGGTATAAAAAGTTTCTTTTAAACTAAAAGACATTACAAAGCGAAAATTTACTTACTTCATGCATAGACCAATAACTAAAAATATGAAGTAATAAATAAATTTCTACAAAAATGGTAGATCAATAAAAAATAACAGGTAATAAACACAAACACAGTTGAAAACCTAATATACAAGGAGCAAAAAAGTATCTTCAGATTAACTTTTAGACAGATTTAACTATTAGTTCATAAAACATTAGATCGTAACAACCAATAAACTTAATAAAGTTATATATTCATACCTTATCATTTAGTTGCTACTGTAGACGTACAACTAACAGTAAAGTAATTCGAATTCACCTAGTTAATTAAAATTGATTTTCAAATAAACACTAAACATTGAAATATGTTGAGAAATGATTCAAAAATGGTATCTTAAAAAGCCTTAACAGGCTTCATATATTCATATATTCTAATTTCTAAAAAATATATTGACAGTTATGTAAGGCACCTACCGGCTTATGTAATTTCTATTGCACTGTTCTTCTAGTCGCTTGTTCAGTTTGTAAGTCATGAACAAACGTTGATGTCAAAATTCATATAATCACTTAAATAGTTTAAGAAAGTATTTGACATTTATATGTAGATGATACTACAGAATCAATACTGTTGTGTATGGAATCCATACCCAGACTGGGAAATGACATTTTGAATCTTATTTTAGGTCGATGAATTCTCAATCCCTAATATGTATTTATGGATAATCAAAATAATTTTCATTAATACTAACAAGTATTTTTGCTGATTATTTTTAATCTAGGAAAGATATTCATGCATCAGTACTTAGCTTCTAACGTTTTAAAGACGGTTCGTGCTCATGATTGAACTACAAATGTCCCATTTAAACAAAACGTTATTGTTTCTTCATGTTTCTTCGCAAAACGAAGCAATTTTCACAGCTCGGTATTTCATCATTTACACATATTTTGAAGCGATGTTCTGATCCTAACCTACGAAATAGTAACTAGAAAAATATTCCATTAAATAATCATATTCGGAGAAAAATTAATTAATCACTGCGAAACAGATAGCGGGTACTTTGATGATATCAAAATATCATATGGTTATTTCTAAAATTAATAACACCACTAAAATAATTCATCAGAATGATATATTATCAATATAGGGGTTGGGGAGATTGTTAAGTTTTTGATTGAGATCATGAATCAATTGATGTTAGACCACCGTTGGAAACCTGGAAGCACTGGACGGCCGTTTCGCCCCAGTATGGGACTCCTCAGCAGTGCGCATCCACGATCCCGCTCTCCGCGAGATTCGAACCCAGGGCCTATCAGTCTCGCGCCAGGCGCTTAACCAACTAGACCACTGACCCGGCATCCAATGGTGACAGTTTCTAACATCAACCAATCCACGAAATTGCGCGACCAACTTCCATTGTACTGAGGTAGATACCTGTCTCTACCCGACACGGATTAGCTCCACTGGTCACGGCTTCTCACTAGAACTCCGAGAATTCCCTCACGAAGCTAGTCACTAGTGAGCACATGTTAATTATCAGTATAGGGGTTTTGTAGATTGTTAAGTTTTTGATTGAGATCATGAATCCGTGTCGGGTAGAGACAGATATCTACCTTAGTACAATGGAAGTTGGTCGCGCAATTTCGTGGATTGGTTGATGTTAGACACTAACACCATTGAATGCGGGCTCAGTGGTCTAGTTGGTTAAGCGCCTGGCGCGAGACCGATAGGCCCTGGGTTCGAATCTCGCGGAGAGCGGGATCGTGGATGCGCACTGCTGAGGAGTCCCACACTGGGACGAAACGGCCGTCCAGTGCTTTCAGGTTTCCAACGGTGGTCTAACATCAATTGATTCATGATCTCAATCAGAATGATATATATTGTGATTCATCCTGGGAATTCTGTCGTGTGCATTCATTTAGTTGGTATTGACTATTCAACAACTAATTGTGGCTACAAGAGTCATAATCTTATCAGGGGCTCATTTGTATAGCACTAAACTTATCCATTATCCGGATTACATTTAAAAGACACTCACAGTAGACCAGATTCAGTTTAATTATAATGAAAGAATCTGTTCACTTACGTTTATCTACATATGTAATTACATAGTGGTTAGATTTGTGTCTACTATTATACCTATATGGTCTATAATGATCAGTTAGTTATCATCATAATTCTATAAGATTTCAATTGTGTTCCCCAATTTTTACTTCAATCACCTTGAATGGATTATTTATTATATGTGACATTTTTAACAAACATCAATAGCAAAAGAGCAATTACGTAAGTACTTAATAAACCAATTACTTCTTGCTAGGATCGATATAAGGTCATAATTAATAAATATTTGTGCCGTTGTCATACCATTAAAAATAACGTATGAAAACGGATTTGCGTTGTCAATATTTTTTGAAATAATTGTTTTCTGCTTGTCAAATTATTTTTATTGTTGATGTTGCTAATAACATTTTATCGATTTTAATTTATTATACTTATTGTTATTATGGTGATGATGGCGACGTTATAGGTAAAATATTCGTTTTTTATTAAATTTTGTAGATGCATTTTGTTAAATATTCTGAGTTATATTAGGTCATAACTTCAGAGTTATGAACAATACTGAAATCGACTGCATAGCTAAGGTAAATCACATGAACCTTTTGACTGTATACAGAAATTAAAAATTATGTTTTCATATAAGCTTGAAATACAAGTACTTTTCATCAAATCAAATGAAAAGAAAATTTTCAATACATAAATAGGGACTCAAGTTATTCAAATGCTTCTCTTCAGTTATTCATAATATGTAAAGTAAATGAACTGACATTGCAATTTATCTGTTGGTAAATTTTTTCCATCATATATCATTAAAGAAATAGATTATAATGTTTTTTATATGAAGAAACAGTATAATTAATAATCTAAGAAACAATGCCATAGTTTCTATTTATTGATTTTGAGTTTCTACATTAGAATGGAATATATCTTGATCATTAGCGTAGGAAACAATTTTGAGTTAAGAGAAACTATTACGAACTACACACATTGTAAAACGAAAACATTGATAAAATAAGAGGTACAAAAAGTGAGTTGACCAGAAGTAAGAAATCAGAGTAGGGGATATTTTGACGTCAAAAACCAACTTCTATGGCGTTCTCAATGTAAAAATCGACCACTCATGAATCACTTCTCGGATTATAGTCGTTTGATGGTCAGTGATTCATGATAGAAAGATATTTTCAAAATTTTTCTCTAGGATATTCGGAAATCATTTGACGTACCAACATTGTTATGTATCATCTAACTGCCAGGTAAACGGACAAAGTGGCAAGTAATTTCCTGTCAAACTCAGACACCTTAGCTTACTTCTATCAAACTCTGTATACGTCCATCCCCATAACCTTGCAAAATACATTGACTAGTTTATTTGAACTGGTCGGCAAAGACAATTTCAATCTATCAATTTTTGCTCGAACCCAGCAAACACAGTAACTGAGCTCTGAAGATGACCATGTTTTCAACGAGCTGGCCTTTACTTACTTATGAACCATAGTTCTCTCTATACACAGAACAATGAATATCAGATTCTTTATGGATGCAACAACTACTACATGTTCTATTTGTAACAAAGCACGAACGCCGTTACCATAAGCTCCATTCATTCTGATTTATTTTATGCATTAACGCAACTTTCCGATTAAAAGAATTCGTTGTTCACTTGACACAAGCTTCGATATTATAATTGTTATATATTTACGTAGTAGACGCCGATTGACTGTGTTTTGATTTCTGAATATGGGCAACTAGATTAAACCATCAAGTATATAATTCAAAACACTGAAAAAATTGACTACGGTTCTTGGAGGTTGTAATTTCCTTTTGTTGAAATTCATGACTGAATTTCGACCCATACTTATGGGGATATGTAGAGCCTTAATGAGTATTTCTATATGTCCCTTTCGCTACAGGTTTTCGTACATGTTAGTAACTGGTAGCGCTGGAATCTATGACTCTCATATTTTCTCATTCGAAATTCATGAAAAAACATTTCATGATTTATTGATAAACATCATTCACCCCGAATAGCTTGGTGACTATCTAACCTCAGTGTCATAGTCGTCAGCACGTCAGTATTTAAGGTGATATGTGATAAGTTCCAATTTTAACACGTACGTTAATACTGGCATACATATATCTCCAGCCAAAAAGTCCCAAACAGGATGTGATATGCATCAAGAATCTTACTGCTAGCCAACATTCAAATAGACTCAAAGGTCAACTAGTGGTTCTAAACCATGAATTTGATTAATTCAGAAAATTAAGTATGATTTTAAATCAAGATGACAAAGACCTCCAACTATTGAACTATCATAAATACAGGCAGCAAGTCTATATGTATTTCTCTACACGACTTAGAAAACACGTAACTGATGTTATGGATTATCCTGTCTCTCGATTTAAAGGTAGCTGACGGTGAATCTACACAATTAAAACATGTGGACTAACCCATATTGACTTTTTTTCCTGCTCAAGAGATCTAGCTCTGCTTTAAAGCTGTCCTTTTGATAATCAACTGTTAGAATATTTTTTACTTAAAGCATCATGGCTAACCCATCTTGCTGACTGAAATATTTGTGAGTAACAAGTTAAAAAGTTGCTCATCAGTTCATACAAGTTTGTTTATTGTTTAAAGAATTGTTAACGGTTTACGCAAACCACTAAAAGTTAAGAACTTACAGTTGTTTGATCTTCAGCTAGACCAAGATCATATTCACTTAATGCAACCACAAATATGATTGCAGTGACATCTTGGAAACAATGAATCCACTTTTTTCTTTCTGATCTTTGTCCGCCGACATCTACTAACCTACATTCGCCAAACAATGAAAAGTAATCGTGAGTGGTTTTCTTATTTTTGTCAGGAAAAAACACAAAGGGATCTAGAATGCCACCATTAAGCTAATTAATCACTGGAAATCTTATATCTTACAAATTTATTAAGGGTTAGATTATCAATTATAAAGAGTTAAGATAGATATTTATTCACAAACAAGTGCAAATTATATAGTTCGTCGCAAGGGTAACAATAAAGCAAAAATTTATTTTTGTGTTCACTTCACCAATCATTCACGGTTTTAGTCGACCTTTACTAAAAATTATTATTTAAATTTAAAACAGATTTTTAAACGTGAGAAAATCGAACGATACATTTTGAAACTTATTACCCATCACGAGAACTGACATATTGAGGAGTCATTATGGGTTTATCTGAAAAGTTTCTCCGCTTCATCGCGATTTAGTCTGGGGCAAATAGACCATTATTCACCGATTCTTTTACTCAGGCATTTCTTTCATATCTTGTATCCTCCAACTTAATAAACTTTCAATATCCTACACTAAACCTACAATGGTCCTTCTGTTAATGGCTTTCTTTCAAAAACGGAACTTTATCCGGGTGTTAAGTGTAAGTCAGTAAATAGTTAGAAGCAAAACACTGATCGAATTAACACAGTAGTTGTACTGTGGTGTATGATACTTGTGTTTGCAGATATAAGTTGTGTGTAGCACCAGGTTGAGAAGATTAAAATGAAGTGAAGAGAGAAGTAATCAAAATAAAAACGGAAACAAAGGAACAAGGAAGCTTGTAAGAGATAAATCAAGGGAGATTCGCAAATAATGTAGTTGGCGTATAATTTTCACATTTTACTAAACTACTATTTAATTGTACAAGAAACAATAAATTGGTCTTCCCCACCTGAGTGTTCGTTCACTGAAGTACTAAATTAAACCAAAGTGTAAAGAATATTAAAGAATTTCGGTCGACGGATTGTAAACTGAATTGATTGCTATATTTTCAAACGAACGTAAAAATGACCATGAATAAAAATATTCGCAGATAAAGAATGATTTCTTGATCAAAAAGAATTATTTAAAAGTAACTATGCTTCAAAGTTTGGTTGAAAGATGTCATTTTCTCTGCTCGGCTGTTCGGAAACTTACATCACGTGAATAAAGCATCGTTTAGCTCAAGATGAAACAAAACGATTTTAACGAAACACTTTTCTCCCCATGCCTTGTGTTTTCAGTCGCTTCATCTTGCTCTACTTTGTTTTCATTAGAAGTTTAATAAAAGTCAACTGAAAACGCAAATTATTCTCAGTTTATCACATGAATAATATTTTCATAAAAAACGTCATCTCAACATACTACTTAAAACTTCCTGGTGGTGACATTATTGGAGAACTTGAAACTATTGCCGCTCTTAGAGTTAACAAGTTTGATTTAAGCGAACATCAATCAGGATTCACTATTAAAACATTTACCGGAACTCAATCTTTTTGTAAGAAAACTGAGTTTCTTGTATGCCCGTAGTCTTTACACGTGTTCTTAATACGTCTTGATCGGTCGGAATGTAATCATGTTTAGCCAATCTATCTAAAGAATTGAAAAAGCTGCAAAAGAATAGAAAAAATGGGAAAGCAGTTGCTTTAGCCATTTGTTGTGGAAAAATAACATTTGTGTTTTATAATTTTTCCATCTCTTGATTATAATTCACGTAAACTCTTGGCGATATCCCGAAATATTTACTCCAATGTTGGCGGATGGTAACGCTTTCTTTGGAAAGCCAAAATGACTATAGGTAATATCAATACAGAGGGCAGTTTTTTTATACAATACAAGAGTAGAATATGACACTCCCTATTTTCTCCTCACTTTCAGTAAAAATAAGACATATAAATAATGATCATAGAAATGTTTCTTTTTTATTTCTTTGTTAATACAGCTGATGAATATTTTAAAAAGCTGATATCATCCAGTTCGCCAAACAACTACTTGTAGCTAATATGTTCAGGCGTGTGGCTCGTTGTGTTTCCACTAATATAACGCCTAGTTTTTTTTACAATTATTAAGTAACTATCAAGTTGGAGGGCTAGGTTGGTGGCAAAGGATTCTCACTTAGCTAACCTCAAGACGACGAAATTATTTATCTATACAACTGTTTATGTTATGATATCTATCTTTGCCGCCAGTTTGAACGCATTCATAGAGTCTGTCATAATATTATATATTGAATCAAATGTTTTGCTACAACATTTAACTCCTTCTAATGCGATTGATCTTAACTCTAATGGTGCGTAAACTTTAATTTATTATTCAAAACTTACTAGGATGCTGAATCATTTAATTGATATTCTCTTGAACGCTTGAAACATTGTTGAACACCATTATCATTCCAGAGTTGATAAAGAGCATTATATAATTCAGTTGATAAGTAACCGTCTGCGGCCTCATTCGCACACGCAAATAAAGTTCGAGCGTCGTCCTATTTAAGATTTGCAGTAAATAAAATATTTTTTCTGATATTTGAGGAAGTAATAACTTGAATACACTAGAAAAAATTTAATCAACGGTCTAAAAATGACTTAAAAGTGATTTTTCATTAGGATTTTGAAAAATTAATGCATAACAATTAAAATAATGCAAGACAAAAGTAAATATGGATAAGATCTCCTGGTCACACTTTTGCGTCAAAAATGTCAGGTTAAAGATCATATACTCAAAGCTAACAAGCGAGTTTTGGGTACCTTTCTAGGTATCTTCTTAGGCAAAATTTTATTACTATAAGCAATGAGAACACAAGTGGTGGCAACCAAATGCATTTTAACATACACCATATTACTCTTAATTATCAGTATATATCAATGTCATTTATCAAAAGTTTATTTAGCTAGTGAATTTTTATTAGTAACGTGTAACTTTTAGGTTTTTATGTGAACTTATCCGGAGTTGCAAGCTTGATATGTTGTTCACTCAAATGCAAATTTTATGAAATAAGTCATATGGCTTGTTTTTGTAAGGTGTAACATAAGAATACCATTTTAACAAGAAATAGTTAGACGTCAAGCAGAAAATTATAGTATGCTTATTTCCTAAGTGCTAACCTTGGTAAAATTATTTATGGAATTTGTTTTACCTTGTCTATGTTGCATGATTAGTCAGTGCATACTGTATGGTCTGTGCAACTCTCAATCCCTAGTTATCCCCGAGTTCAGTTAGTATTTTAGTAAAGAGCTATCTATAACAGTAGGCAAGCCTGAAAACATGGTAAGTTATTATTAGTTTTCTTCAACATTTTGACATTCGTAGGAAAGAATGGACGTCTCTTGCGGATAAGTATGCCAGGTAAACAATCACTTAATGATATATCACTTTGCCTAAAAAAGAACATTTGAAGGAATAAATCGATGGGTAATATTAATATATGTATCTATAGCGAAACAAACAAGCCAGCGACGAACCACGTAAACAGCCTGAATGAATAAAATATGCTATATTTTTAGAAACGCCAAAATTGTTTGGAGTTCCACATCTGTTTCAAGGTTTAATATCACAGTTTCAGCCATAAACTACAATTCTTGAGCTCGTAACAAAGTCAAGACAGCTAATTTGGTTAAATACATAACAAACGATTGAAAATCCAGTTTAACTATAAAAACGATTTTATCTGCTCTAATTAAAGCCTGAAGTGTTCTGAACACCTTGATGATGCTATTTATTTTGGGGATTTATTTACCGCTACAACCTTAGTAAATTTACACGTAATTTTCTATCGATTAGGACCATGAAAAAGCTGTCTTTAGGTTAGGACAATTTATAAGGATTGCAACATGCTTACTTTTGCCTTATATGTAGTTTTGCTCAAAATTGCTTCGTTAAAGTAGTAAATTGTTTGAGACTAAGACACACGATAAAGCAATGTTTTTAAATACCATCGTCAATAATTAAAATCTATCAATCCAATTAAGGATAGGCGTTTTAAGGCGTTGATTCAAAGAGGATAATTTTCACAAGAAAAACGACTCACTACTCGACACTCGTCCTCAAATTTAATGTACAAGTGACCCATGGCTCGTATAATTGCTATCATACTCTGAACGGTGTTGCTATAAACAACAGGCTTATAAAGTAAGCACTCCTCTCTTGTGTAGCTAGACTGGTGAATAATTCTAAAAAGTCATCTAAAAGTTGACTGACCCTACTTTAGCTGCTTAAGTATTGTACTTTTCCCAGACTCACCAGCACCTAGTATTATTAAAAGGTTATGAAACTTTGAAGATTACCCAACAACAACAGCTTAGCTATTCTTGCCATTTTTTCGCCATCGCTTTTGAGTGAGGCGTCTATCTGTTTAGATCTTAGAACAGCTTCCTTCTCGTCAATACTTAGTAAACATCCCATCACGGAATATAGTTACAACATTTACACCATGCGCTATTAATAATCAGTTAACAATAAAACCAAGATTGTATGGAAACTTATTTATTATCTTGTTTCGAGGTACATAATCAAATGATTGTTTTATTTTCTGTGAATTTCGCTGTACATTAGAGAAAGACCGAACTGGTTGAGGTTTGAAAGGTACCAAAGTAATCATATCAAAAATGATAAACGATTGTGAATAAACACTTAACTTACTGCTGAGATTCAGAGTTATCGATTCTTTTATTTTTACAGCCCTTACATTTATTAGCTTCCTTTAATAAATAGTGCACCGTTTGTATGTTTAGATAAAGTAAACACAATCGCTATTTGCTTTGTGCAGTTAGTAATATATGTTATGATAAGACTGCTCGAACCCTTTTTATTTTACAACCTAATAAATCTACAACCAATAATCACAATAAGGGTTTTAAAAGTATTGGAAAAGGCATTCACCAATGATGTCATTTTCACCAGAAAGTAGTTCGTAATTTCTTAATTTTTTGTCAAATGAACCACATATTATGCTATACCTATGGTCACTTGCTAAAGAGTATTTCCCTTTTTAGTAAAGTATATAATTTCATCGGCACAAATGTTAATATGAACTCAAGGAATGTCTGCTAATGCTGAAAATTTGTTAAATTCGTGGAACTATTTCGTTGTGTAGCCCAGCTTGCCTCTTGTCTCTTCACTTGGGAGAGGCTTTAATTCTTGAAAGATTGTACAGGAGTGCCTTAAAGCAACATTGCCACGGCAGCGTTTTATATTAGGACAAAGTAGCACTTAAGCTAAATCTAAGTCATTAGTGAAGAAAATATCCTGAAAAAGTTATTTTTATGTTCGACATGAGAAATCAATCATGCACTTTTGTAATGCGAGAGCCACGCTTATCTCATTTGTTTGAGTGGCACGAAATCTACTTGTCCGTAACTCTGCAATTGAGTGAATAATTTTTGTGCCGTGGAAGGAGGATGCTGTGTATAGATATGAGGTTTAGGGAGATTTTATTCTGATAGGAGAACGAGACAATTCATGTAAATCTATGGAGTTCAATAAACTTGTAGTGGTAAATAAATCCACGTAACAAATAGTTCTATAAGTAACCAACATTATTGCTGATCTGTCATAACCCTTGACGTCTTCAGTGGTGGTTTCGATGTAATCTTCTATACCGAACGAAGCGCTTTGATAAAGACCATCCGCATATGTGGAGACCTAACTGATTGGCAAAAGCTAAACCAGCTCTCACGCAATAACGAATCATGAGACCGAAAAGCGATGAAAATGTCCCGACTTATGAGTGACATCATTGGTAAACGAACTTTCAGCGAATTGCATTTCAGAAAACTCTTTATATCTAAGCTCCTTCAGAAGATGCAAGCAGTTCTTATTTCGTTCTTAAATAACACCACAGATCAGCTTATTGTATTTGCTTACAAATGAGCTTCATTTATTCTTCACGTCCTGGATACCACCAAAAAAACTGGCACTGAGGTTTATTATGTTAAGAAAAAGCTCAGTCTATAAAAACGAAATAACATTTCCGTAATACCATCACATCCTTTTTGAACATCTGCCATGATCACAAATGGTCTAAGATTCCTCAAAAAAGCCCTTCACGTAAAAGATCTGTCTCTAGTTCCCTGGTAATATATAACTAAAATCAGTACTCTTACAACAACACCCATGATAAGTCCTCCAGAAACTGTGCAGTTTTAATGATCTCAAACCTGTCACGATAAACCTGGACGAAAATTCAGCTTGCAAACAGCAACCACACTTGGAGAAACTATCGAGTAGGTCGAATCTTTCACGTACCTGGACAGCATCATTGGTGGACATGGATGACCCGATGCAGACGTAAGGGCTAGGATTAGTAAAGCAAAGGCCGCCTTCCTGCAGCTGAAAAACGCATGAGACTCAAAACAACTGTCAACCAATACCGAAGTCAGCATCCTCAACACGAACGTCAAGATAATTCTACTGTTCAGAGCTTAAACGTGGAGAACTACTACAGTCATTATCAAATTGTACAAGTATTTATAAACAATTGTTTATGCACGATACTATCTGTCCATTGACTGGAAACAATTAGCAACAGCCTACTATAGGAGAGAATAAACCAGCTTCCAGTTGAATTGAAAATTAGGAAAAAACAATGAAAGTGAATAAGACAGACAGTACGGAAATCACCAAACTTCATCATGAGTCAAGCGCTTACTTGACATCTTGAAAGCAAACGGAAAAGAGGAAGACCAAATTAAGAACACTTCATCAGGAATTCAAAGCAGATATGAAGGGATTTGTGGCCACTGGAGAGTACTGGAAAAGATTTCTCAGAACCGAGTTGGATGAGGAATGCTGGTGGATGACCTTTGCTCTTAGACGAGGGTTAATAGGCTTAAGTAAGTTGTGATATAAGTGTGTCATTCAGTTTGAAAAACGCTCCACAAGCTTTCAAGAGATTCATCAACATAGTTTACGCACGTATAAGTCGATGACTGTCTAGTCGCTAGTTAATTTACAGAATCCCGTCTCCAGCATTTGAACTGACTCCAAAGGACCGCACCACCGTTAACACAGAAATTTCAGACTGTTATCTACTAACATGACTTACACAGGCAAGCCAGTATTCGCCTAATGTATTTAATCCCCAGAAAACAAAGTGGCAGCTGTTCTAGATCACTCAAGACCGACCACAGTCAAGTGACTGCACACATTCAACGATTTGACATATCTCCACTGATGGTCCACACGAAGTCTTATGTGACCATGCAAAAATCATCGAATTGAACGACAGTGGTGAAAGCCGAGTATCCACTCCATCCATAAACGTCCAACCGTTTTTCCTTACCCGTCTTCAGACAAGTACCTTCCTTAGGAATCAAATAACTGGACTTCACTTCAAAAATCAATTCAGACATACATGTTTCAAGGACAGGCAGTGTAGGCGCCCACACACTTTTAACGGTCTTCTTTAAACTTTTCCAGCTTCCAAAAATAGACACCGATCTTCTGTATGTGTTATCCTCAACAACCCTCAAACAGATGAGATCAGACAAGGAAACTCCACTTTGTGCCAACACTGCAGTTAACGATAGTCCATTCATGGGGAAACACTGTTGTCTCAATATCTTCAATACGTGCACAAGCTTACGTATCCAAATTTTCCAGTAACCATCAAGTTAAGGGAAGATCGATATTTCCGCCCTCGTATGAATCAACACTTGAAAAAGTGAACACGTTTTTGCATGAGTTACCGGACATTAAAGGTGATTATACTTGCTAAATGCCCCCCAGAATAGTTAAAATCTCCTGGAGCCCGCTTCAACCATGTTAGTGATTATTTGGTAGGTCTTACCAAAATCAAATTAATACTCTTATTTCTTAGCGTGGATAAACGATTTAACACAGTGGTCAGAAGCATTATCTGTCAGAGACCTTGCTACAGAAATAATGGCCTGCTCCTTCATCAAACGACTGGTAGCAAACCTTGGTCGCCCTTCGACTGTTAACAAAAACCACGGATCTCAGACCAAATTAGGATTTCTGTGTATCGCAACACTCCCAGGAATTCCATGAACAAACGACCGTCTTCCTTCTGTATATCAACAGGTTGGTAGAACGATTTTAATGACAGTTGTAGGTTTTACCCTCAGCAGAAAACATTTTTGAATGGACTGATGTAGTTAGATTTGTCTTATTCAGAATTCGTATTTCAGTGAAGATGATAATGGATACACTGCAGTCAAACTTATTTGACTCACGACACTTTGAACCCCAGGAGAATTCGTAGATTATTCAACCTCAGTGCGTGTGGATCAAAACACCGACGTGAACCGGCTTACAAACGTTCAGTTAAACCTGGTTCAACTCGACCGTCGAAGCCACACCTCACGGTTAGTACCTAACGTGGACTAACGTTTCGTCGTGTCCAGACTCTATGGCTACTTTGAAGACCGTATAGCATGTAGAACGTTATTACAAAAATATATTAATGAGAGTAGGTGTATGGAAGGGAATGCGATCACCATGGTATGAGCCAGGCCATGGTGTGAGATTAATCGATATACGCGTTGGTTGTCCTCGAACTTGATGAGGATCGGTGAACTGTTCGACACTGACTGCTGGATGATTTGGCTAGTGTCTAGTGACTTTTAACTGACCCTACAGTATCATTTGCAACTTGTATGAGAAGGCAAGACAAAAATGAAAACGCACTGAAAATTATCAATGTTCCGGAATCAGACAACTCAATTCTTAGTAGAAATCTGTAGTATAATCTTAAAGAAATATACACGATAAAAGAAAATTAGTCAACTACATTTATGACAGTTTATCTTTGTCCTTGTGGCCGAAGTGATGACCTTAAATGTCCGGAAGCGCTCTATATAAGCTAGTTGATGTACTCTCTTCTCCAAAGTTAGAATGTCGAGTAGACGGTCTGGCAATCTGCGCACTTATTTGGATAAAGTATGTTCATTTTCGTATGCATATCGGCTTCTCTGTAGAAATTCAAACCCACCTTTGATCAGGTAAGTTAAGTTCACCTGCCTCAATGGATCCCTAGTACGGTACAAAAGATGGTATTCCATTGTCTGATTTGAAGAGACTTCTCGGGAAGTCTGACCTACCAGAATCAAAAGTTCACAATATTGTGGACTCAGCCGATAAAGATGGAGACCAGTTCATTACTTACGATGAGTTCCTAAAACAAGTAAGTATTTTCAAAATATAATGTATTAGGTTTGTATGTTGTCAATGCGTGATCTGATGTGATGCACAGTAATAGAAAAAAGATGTATGTGACAAACTACAAGCTTAGAACGATAAGTCTGGTTGACACGGTTGACATCTCGTTTGTGCTACTCGTATTTATCAGTTTAACTGATGGTGTGATTGTCTAGTGATATGATTTTTAATTATCCTCTACTGTGTATGAGTGGTGTCCATTTAAATCCTAGTTCGTGTTGTGTATGGATGCGGTTGGACTTGAGATCACGTTCCTCTATGGCGAAATCACTCGGTTATCTTTGTATACATAATCACAGTTGTTTCCAGATTACGAAACAGATTGACGCATAGATTCCAATCTGTTATTCCGACACATGAAAGTCAACGTGTTTTCCATCTTTGAGCTTTTGTATTTGTTGTGGGAATGTAAT